GACTTTGATACAACGAAGCTATCGCTTATTCATGAGAAAGTGAGCAATTTTAGATTTTTTTTTCTCTTCTTACGAAGTGGCTGAGCTTTGAATATACGTACACGAAATCACACCTGTATTCCCAAAGGGTTAGGTAAAGATATAGCCACATTACCCTAAGTTCTCTGTAATAGCAGGCGCGTGTATTAGATACTTGGAAAGGCCTTGGCTGCTATGAGTATGATGAAAAGTCTACCAGGAAATGAAGAAAATCTAATACCTAGATATTTTTAAATAAGATCAGTTTAATTTGAGAGCCTAATCATCTCTGCAATTTATAATAATATTTCATTACACTTTGCACATAATGTAATTAATGGCTTCATTCCAAACTTGATTTGAAAATCCAAATAAATATTTGCTTGAGCTAGGAGTCAAACATTCAGAATCATTTGCTTAATAAATGCATTTGAGTAATGAAGTAAATGATAATTACCTACATAAGTTTAAGTATGTCCATAAAATAGCGTGAAGCTTTATAATGTTTTCTCACTTTATAAATATTACGATTATCTCATTTAAAAGGAGTCCATTTTAAGGTTCCCTCGTCCAGAGGGTCGCACATTATAAGTTGACCAAACAAATGGCGAACACGTTTCATCATTATGACTTTTTGTTTGGGGTACATCACATTCTCAATATTTGTTATTGAACTTTTTCAATTCGAATAATGGTTTAACTCAGCTGTTATTTGTGTACAGCCAATAATTCTCAAAGAGATTGCTATTGAAGTTATTATAGCCAAAACGTAACATAACGTCATGCACTTTTTCAAATACCCTTATTCAAACACGGTTCTAGACCTAGACTATTTATCAACAGTCTAGACCATGATCCTTCACTACATGAGCGGTACGGAGGGTTATGGCAATAATTACATGTGTTTTGAAAATTTTCAAAGATATCTGCATAGCGCCCAATAAGCAGAACCCAAAGATTCCTTGCAGTAGCTCAGTCACTTCATACTAAAAATAATTTCACTATAAGTACGGAAAATAGTATCTAATCCAACGCTCTTGAGTCCAGCGAAAACTAGTTCCGTACTACGTTTTATTACGCTCATAATGAACATTAAGGTAGAATATTGGACGTAGGTGCAAGCAATTTTATGCAAATTACTTTTTTAAAGAAGGATTTTAACGTAAGTATTTGTTATTTTTTTGACAAGATTAGCAAAGGAGACATAATAACGTATTGTTCAGTTATCATCAACAGCCTATAAGTGCCCACTGCTGAGCAAAGCCTCTTCTCACACGGAGAAGGTTTGAGCATTAATCACCACGCTTGCTGCAATGCGGGTTGGCGATTACAAACTTATAATTAGAAATTATAAGCCTAGGTTTCCTCACGATGTTTTCCTTCACCGTTTGTCAGTGGTGTCTAGATAATTTTAGAAAGTACATATAACTATGAAAAAGTCACATTGGTACTTGCCGTTGTTAGGTTTCGAACCCGCACCCTCATGCATGAGAAGCGGGCGTCTTCAACCTTCGGGCCACCACGACCGTTGTTCAGTTATATCTGATATCAACGACCACACAGCCTAATATAAACTTATTATGTAACTTAAATCCAGACTACTAATTTTGCCGCGGAAGGCCTAACGGGTTCTCCTCCCGCCTAAACCAAGGCGGGAGAAGAAATTGGATGATTTTCCCCCCTCAAAAAAAACGACTAATTTTAGTAAGCAAACGAGTAAAGATCTTAACTTTTAGAAAATGAGTCACCAAATGTATCAAATAGCTTTTCTTCAAAAACAAGCCAAAAGAATGTTTTGAATGTTTAACAGAACAATTCACACAAACCACGTTGCCTAATTGCTAAAAATCTAGTCCCACGTTGGGTGTCAAAACCGTAGACACTAATCTCCAGGGAGCAGTGAATGTCGAAAAAATGTAAAAAACTTATCATCTACGCTTGGAGTTCCGTAGTAGGTACCTAGTGCGCGTTTGAAAAAAGGTGTTTTTTTTCATGGGCTGGCTTGCAAGTCAGGCGGACATTATAAGCACTTATTGAACATTGAACAAGGTTGTCAGATTCGTATCACAGGTGGAGTAAGGGTTCGTTATGTTTTCCGATTTCAAAATTTTCAATCTAATGTAGTCGCAACCCAAATATACGTAGTGCACTTTTTTACTCGTTTACGGATTAGAACAAATCTTTGTGCGTAGGTATTATACCTTAAACAATAGTTAGTCAAATATTGTTGATCGAAGGTCAAATGAATTAACATCGTTTAATCTTATATGTACAAATTTTCTGAATAAAGTGTGGGAGAGCCATGCTTCGGCACGAATGGGCCGGCTGAACCGGAGTGATACCACGGCCTCACAGAAAACCGACGTGAAGCAACGCTTGCGCTGTGTTTCGTCGTGTGAGTAGTTTTACCGGAGGCCTAATTACCCTCCCCTTCCTCAATCTCCCCAATCCCTGAATCCCCAACGATCCTCAAACTCCTAATCTCCAAAAGGCCAGTAACACACTTGTAACGCCTCTGATGTTCCAGGTGTCCATGGGCGACGCCGGTTGCTTACCATCAGGTAATCCGTCTGCTCGATTACCGGCTTATGCCACAAAAAAAAGAATAAATAATTGTTTCCTTTATCCGTTCGAAACCATCGGGTCCATTGATGGCATCTATTGTTTACCATCGAGTGATCTGTCTATGCTTTATGCGCTCTATTCCATAACGAATGTCTATTTGTATCTGTTAGTAACCTAAAAAATCAAACCTTAATTCTTAAGCAACTGTTCTTAGAACAACTTTCAGTAGTTCCAATTAGCACAGGTTCGCACTGAACTCCAAAAAGCGCTGGCTTACCAAATAAGCCGTCGGACATAGCTCGGGGCTCGAACGGTTTGGAGAATCGCAGCAAAAAGTTCCACATTTCACGACTCTGACGTTTATAGAGCGGTTGTTAGTTCAGGTGAGTGACGTGTGCACTGAATAGATGCACTTCGCTACTATTGGTTTAGATAAACCTTTGATCAAGCTTTTTGAGTGGATTTAAAAATCTTCGTTTGTTATTGTCGCTACAGGACTTCTCTGATTACCTTTTTATTTATTTTAAGAAAGTACATATGAGACTGCCTCATTGGAAGTAGTGGTCGCAAGTGCGACTGTCGGGCAAGGGGTCTCGGGTTCGATTCCCGGGTCGGGCAAAGTATTACTGGGGTTTTTAAAAATCTCAGTACTAGCACGAAATCTGGAAATGTGCCCGGTATATGGCAATAGGCTCACCCCTATTACATGGGACTCGTAACATAAATAGTGAAAAGTGGGTGTTACATTGTACAGTGGCATTATGTGCCGTAATGTACAGCTCTGCTTACTCCTTCGGGGATAAAAAGCGTGATGTTATGTTATATGAGACGATGTATTAAAAAATTTCCTACTAAAACACATAACGAAAATATTCAGTATAGTGTTTACCATTAAGTTATCTTTGCATTATGCCTCACTAACGCATTAGGTTATAATATAATATACCTGTAATGTTAGCTGATTAGCTGTAAGAGTTGAAATAAATAAATTAATCTTAAATCTTTGAGTAACAGAAAGACCAATGTGTGAAAATCCATTAGATTTTCGTTAGTTGCTGGCTGAATAACCTATTAAGGAACATGACGACAGAACTATCCAATCTAAGGAAACAATGACGAGAGAATTTTCAAAACAATCTTTTGTACTGACCTCGACAAACAAACTGTTATCAATAAACTCTAGTTAAGATAAACCTTGATAAATACTCACTTATCTTAACACTAGGTAACGTGTTAAGCAATTTCACTTAATCTCTGTAATCTGACTTGGGTTTACAAAGATTACCTTAAGAGCTTTTGGTTATAAACGCATTCCATTTTTAAGTTTTATTTTGTGACGAACAAAGCAGATGAACACTGTCTATCTATAGTGTAGCTAATGAAGGTAAAGCCAAGAATACAGTAGGGGACTAATATTCTGCGACAGGTGTCGCCAGCGACGTTGGGTGGAGTAGCGCGACGTTGCCGGACTTTGGTGGACATGTCTGGCAGCATCAACGTCACTGTGGTTATATAGTTTGTCAGGCGATATCGGTCGGCTTCTTTATTTAAGGTGTAATTTCATCGAATGACTTCTGCGTGAGGCGGGAGGGAGTGTCTGACTCTTACTGAGTAAAAACCACCCCGTTCCTACTCCTGCACTTCGACCCGGACCCCCGGTAACCCGTTAAGCTTGCAGCGGCTCCGTATCGGCATCAGCCCTATTGGGCCCCATCCGTGGTGGTGTCATCACACCGAACCTTAGTTCGGTTGAGCGCGCACGCGGAACGTGACGCACCGCATGCTCGGGTCTGGTTCTGGGTCGGGCGGCGAGCTACCCATGCTCACCACCCGCAGCCCCGCGCCTACGGTGGCCGGAGATCGTCCCGCGATCCCCGACTTTGGAGTGTCCTTCGCGATGGTTGGATTGTAAGGAGGCATCGTTTCGCTGCGTCATGCGCCCTGCCTCCTCCTTAGCTAACATGACTGCTTCGCCAAAGTAGGAGAAGGCATCCCAGTCCCCCTCGCTCCGCATCATGACCCGGACTAAGTAGACATGTATTTTCGCCGATAAATGTCATGAGACATTTGTCCCCTAGTGTGTCCTTAGCTTTAATGGGATTTTTGTACCTATGACTGACAATTTCAAGCAGCGGGATTAGATCCTTTCTTTAAGGGCTGGGTTTTTGATTTCGTGATTCCTTGTAAATCAGAAATAAGAATTGTGAAATAATCATGACAGTAATCTACAAACGTATATAATAATATTGCTTAATCATTTTCTGTTTCTAGGAAAATCGACCCATGAACTCACTGCAGCATTCATTCATACTAAATCCAAATAGATTATGATAAACTAGGGTTAAGAAACTCATCGTCAACTGGTACTGATTTGTAGGGTAAAATAAACCTTACTGCATACGAAATAAAATGCATAATACAAATCCAACATAATGCTTTATTTTACAAATACTATGTAATCGCCATCTAAATGATACGCTATAGTACATACCTATTATAATTACATTTGGAGACACCGCATTATATACAGAAATTTCAACATTCAATAATAATTATGTAAAGTTATAAGGCACATTAAAACATCTTACTTCATAAATATCTATTTAGTTTTAATTCTATTAATTTACTAACTATACAATTGCGAATGCACAGATTGCACGCACAGGGTGTGAAGATAATAGTGTTATTATTTATTTATTTAAATAACCTACTTCAATTCAATAACTCAATAGATAAGACTTGAATAAAACCTTGAATAACTAATGTGTAAGATTCTATAACAAAAATTAACTTCACACCTCTCACTATAAAAATGACACCATATATAATAATATCAAGTATACGAAGCTATTTACATCAAAACCTGGGAATAAAATTTTAACTAAAATAATCTCTTCCACAAAAACATTAAGTTCTAATGAAAATATTATAGTATTAGATATTTGTGATGTTTTAATGCAACTGAATTGTATCCCCATTAAAAATTTAATATGCGATATCTTGTGACAATTAATGCAATAATTGGAATTCAATAATTACTAAACGTGAACACACAAAATTAATTTTAACAATGAATTATTATCTATTTTAATCATAAATGCTATCATTAAATAAAATGACTTTCGATGATTATCGAAAATAATTTTATTTTTCCACAATCGACCGTATTCACAAATTATATTCAGTCAATTATTTACGTAGACCTAAACTGTTATATGGGATTGTAAGGGAAAGGAGACGAGAGTGACTAACGAATGAAAACAATAACCAATACCAATTTAAAACCTTTGGATTGTTGATTTTTATCGTATAGGCACACGAGCAGACGCATCACCTGATGGTATCCAACCACTGATTGGTCAGTCAGCCCTACTCAAAGACACTTGTAACACTAATGGAGTTACTGGCGTATTGCCGACCTTTAGGAGGATAGGTATTGACATTCTATGAAGAATGATAAACCATTTAAATAGAACTGATGTTGGATTAATATCGGTTATTTTTTTCAATCGTAAACAAAGCAAGTGGGTACAATTAGGAAGACAACTGGGCAGTATCATGTCTTTTCAGAACTATCTATTTATGTCCTTAGATAACAAGGGGAAAAATAAAAATACTGGCTCAAAGTCTACAGTTAAGAATGGAAGTAATTAAATTAAAGGTATAGGTAATATTCTAGAAAATATTTCTATCAAAACTGTATTGGATATTTTAGGTACTCATTAATTTTATTTTCGTATCGATCACAAAGAGGAATGTTATATTTCTAATGAAGACGTATCGAAGGAAATTTACTTAGACTGATATTCTATTAATTGCTTCAGGAATGTATAAGATTCAGTTATTAAAATGGATCTGGAAACTAGTTTAAAAGTTGAAAAGAAACTCATGTACTTTGTTACAAAATTTCTTTTACAATCTGTCATTCGTATCCGCTAATATTTTTTTACCAAATCAGTCATGGTCGAAGTTAACACAAGACATAAAATGTGACTAAAAATAAATTCGCTCAGTAACTTATGAGTACAAAAATATTTACTTATATATTCATAAACATAGTTTTAAAAATCTATCATTACAATTTACAATTTCACTAAAATTTTTACATTCTAAGACATAAGTCAATACGACTAACTATTAGATAGGTATATTGAATGACATCTAATTAATCACAATTATGTAATTTACATCGGACTAAAAGTCATTACCATTTTTTTTAATCACCATTCTTATTTTCCATTGTTGACCTTGCTTCTGTAATGGTATGTTTAAGCCGTAATTATCTTTTTAAAAACAACACCGAATCGATCGTAAGTATTACCGTATTTGATCTATGAACCAAAAAAGATGACCAGCACAATTAATTCATTATTTTATTCTAATTTGGTTTTTTAATGTTATCTACATCTTTTAAAAACATTATCAAAATGTCTGTACCTACCTACTTGAAAACCAATAATCTGAAGATTTATGAAGTGGCTACAGCTTAAAAATACCAATACAATATCTCAAGACGACTTTCATTCTCTATTCAAGTCACAGACTCATTTCTTAGGTCGTCCATATTGAAATTGATGTAATCGTAATAAATATCGAAGCATACAGATATCAAAGATATGTACAGTTAATATCTATACTAAATCCTAACCAGTAAGTTAATACTCGATAAAGAATACTATTACAACATTAATTTTACATAAAACACTTTAAAATTTATAAAAAGACGGCAAAAACATCCATTCTAGTTGAAAATATCGATAAATGTTTTTCTTTACGAAGAGATATGTATAATTTAGTAAGTTTCCAAGTAAAATAATAAACGCATTGAAAAAAATATAGAAATACAATAAAACGCTGATTTGTAACAGCAGCAAAACATAACAATTTTAGTAGAAGTAATAAAGAACGATCTTCCACAAGACAAACATAGGCAAGCACCATCATTATAACAGTTGTTTCTTGAAACTAACACAATTTTTTCACCAACCACAAATTCACTTTCCTATAATATTTCGCACAGAATCTGTAGGAACTAAACAAATGACATTCAAGCGAAACTAAAATCGAACACATCAGTCGTTAATAGGCCGAGTTCAACGGGGTTCATATTAGCAATAGAGAAGGTTAGATTCTCTAATACAGATGGCAGCACCATAGCAAATGGGGATATCTAGCAACGCTCATTTCAATTGACATTGCAATTTCAACGTGCTATGATGTCGCCAAAATCTCACCAATTATCTCCATTGTAGTATGTTCAACAAGCCTGTGTAAAATAGTGAAGCCTTATAGTCTAAACAGCCTGCAGCGTTTCACACTATACAAGTACACATTTAACTACAAGCATTCATTGCATCAGACAACAAGTGAACCATTGAATTAACACTATGTCACAGTCACGTTATTCTCATTGTCTTTATGCTGTTTATATGAACAGCACCTCTAGGTAAGCCTCCGGCTACTCGGCTTGTGTCAGCTCTGGCGCTAACCTATTGGCGTTGAAGTTCTCCATACTCCACATCTGCCGTGATTCCGACTCGCTGCACGTCTCCATGACAATCTTGTCTTTGTTCCTTGATACCGCCATGCATTTCTCACTTGAGCCATGCTTCAGCAACTTTAGCTGTGAACAAATTAAACAATTAATTTATGCTATTTACATTAAAGTTATGATGTCCTTCTAATAGGACATCTTTATAGATTTATTTGAGGGCAGTATGATTATGAAAATTTATAGCACAGTTTTGAATGTAAGTCGTTCTAGCTCGTTCTATTCCGTCGTACTTCCAGTCTCATCTAGCGAGCCCTTTATTTCAAGGAAAGGGAATATAATTTATATGAAAACACTCCTCATAATTTCACCGACTTAATACTTCTATATTTAGCAGCAGGTACTAAAGGATTGGTCGTTACCTAACTCCCGCAAATTAATTTTAGCAAAATCTTGCAAGTAAATTATTTCCTCCGACGACATTAATTAACTTTTGTTGTAAACTTCCATAATTATCATATTATGAGTTTAACCATAGAAGAAAAAGCTTTTCATCTCTACAATAAATCGAAACCGTTTTTATCTTTCTTTAATATTTGTTTTTTTTTATTACATACCTATCTAATACCTAACATCCTATGTCCATCAGCCTACCTTTACCTTTACAGAAAATAATTCTTGGTAGAAGTCAGATTACAAAATTACATAATCATTTCAATTCCTAAAGAGTTAGGTAATTTTCTTAACTCCAGCCTATTTTCAGCAGAATCTAGATCTCTTTTCTTGTAGCTACTTTGAAGAAGATAGTGATAAACTCATTTAACTAAAACGAGGCAGTTTCTATGATTTATTATTTAGAGAATTAATATGAAACATCTTTGAAATAAAAACTTGTATTACGTAAGCCTAAGTAATCTTGAATATCAATAACGTTTGCTATTCAAACACTAATATTAGGCGTACACAAATAAATACATAATATTGAGGGATTTAGTTCCAAATTACACAGAAGTTTAGAAGATTACAACTACGAAGAACTTCTATAGAAATAGTTATGAAATGAAATATTAATTATGTTTAAATATTGGATGAAGATAGAGAAAGAAAGGACTTTGATTCATCGATAATGGAAAATAGAAAACAAGGTAATTTCTATTTTGAAGTAATGTTGACTATCAAATAGAGGAGATCCCCAATCTTCAAATCCCTAAAGCCAAAAAACCGGTAACGCCCTTATTATCTACTCCTCTGGTGTAGTGGGTGTTTATGGGTTGCCAAGTTGCTTACCATCATGTTATCTATCTGCTAGTTTGCCACCTGATCCCATTAAAAATAATAAAAACAATATGTGTGAAAACTTACGCGGGCATCATAGATCCACAGCTGGTTACCCTTGGCACCGTGGCAAGGGTACAATACAACATCATGTCCAGAATAATCCAGACATGTCTCGTCACGTCGGATCTCGCCATTTTTGGAATACATCCAATACTGGAAGTTTAAAAATAAATATAAATAAATATTACTCCATATTTTCTACAAAAAGTAAACGTCTCATATTTCATTACGGTTTTTGGTATCAAAAGCTCAAGAATATTAAAAAAAAATACAAAATGTTAATTTAACTTGCGAAATTGCGTACATAGCACAGAGGTGATTATAAACTTTACAAATAATATGAACTGTAACGGGGTTTTAATAGTTTGGGCACGAAATAAATATTTTTTGTGATAAATAATAAAAAGAAATGGAAACGAAAACCGAAAACCTAGTCACCCAAAACCATAAATATCTACAGATATAGACAATTGGCTGAGTTTTACTGTAAAAAATATCAAACGCTTCAAAGAAAGAACCACAGTTATTGATGGCATCCATCTTATTTCTATTCACACAGCTTAAAAAAAAAGTATATTCGGGTCGGACGCTATTTTTCTCATAACAATAATCTTGTGAACATTCAAAACAAAAAATAAAAACAATACTCAGTCCATTATCTATATCTATATATGCATACAAATATAGACAAAAAATACAATAAAGTAAAAATAAACAGGATCCGTTAAACATGGGTTATAATTAAAAAGGAGTTAAGGGTATAAAACTTATGTACTAAACGAGCCACTTAACACAAAGTAATCGTGTTACATTTGTGGGTATAACGAACCCTAAAAAAGAATTAAATGAACGGTTACCATGTAAACAACGATCACACGAATGTTAAATGGCTTTAGAAGTTGTAATTTACCTCGCGGCAGTACCAAAATTGAAAGAGTAAATATACAGTAACATCCTTAATTTTTAATCTACTACTCCATTTTAACTCTCAAAAAGACATAACGGATAAAAGCGGACACAAAAAGTTCAAACACATTTGGGTCACTCCGATAAAATTAAAACAATACAAAAAAAATATCTAATGACATCTACTTTGTTACTAACAAACTCAAAAATTATGAACAAAATTTGTTACAAATTTTATCGCATTAGTAAGGCAAAATAGATGGATGAATGTAAACAAAATACGTGCGTATCATTTTTATAAAACATTGAAGTGTTGTACGCAAATATTTTGCAAATTAGTACAAACTATAGTCGACTGTAAAACTGGCTTGTCGTCTTCTACAAAATAACCCACAATGGAACGTAATTTTAATGTAATGTATTAACATTTTTATAGTCGACTATCCGCATCTGTAAGTATGCATTAATAATAGGTTACTGTGGTTGGTTTTGAAGCCACTACGACCACTTACTAAAATGATGATGATCACCAACACCAACTAGGGGAATAAGCAAAAGCAGTAGATCTGAATAATTTGGCGGCCTTCGACAAACCTGATTTCCATACTCCCCGTGACATGGCCATAGGTTGACGGGCTTCTTCATGTCTTCGGGACCAGCAGCTGAGTCGACGCACATTTCTGTCCCAGGATTCGCGATCTGATGCCATCCATAAGTTATAAAAGGCGTGCCAAAAGCAAGCGTGCTGATCCAACGTCATCATTCGAAATTATTATTAAACATTTTGAAACAATACACTGAACGAATGATGACATTAGAATGTTGTGATAATGAAGATGAGAAAACATAAATAACTGTTATAGAAATTAATTGACAATAAAACAATAATTCCTTATGACGTCAATAATCATAGTAGGTATTATGGAAGCCTCTAACATCCCAAGATATAAAACTAAATCCAGCCCAATCTCGTAGTCATAACTCCTTTTTTCTCAATAGGAGTACCTGATTACCGCCATATCCATGGCATTTGCGAGTTTTAGCAGTTGGACGAGGTTCTTCATATTCATTTTCTTGGACAGTCACACCATCAAGGCAGTAATTTGTGAAGCCTCCATTTCGAACCTTTCAGTGATGGTCACAAACAAATGCAAAAAACGTGACTTATGGGTGCAATAAAAAAACAAACGTGCTGTTCACGTGCAATGCAAGATAGAGTGCAAAAAAATGGAATATTGAACAAAGTCGAAACAAACATTCAAAATTTGGAATAAAAACTCCTGCAAAGTGGTACTGCCGCAATCGGTTTAATTGAATTCGACAGAAGACCTGATTTCCTCCCTGCCGATGACATGGGTAAAGTCCGACTGGCTTATGATGATCTGACTTGCGCGCTGGAGAGTCCAAACAGATCTTTTTGAAGGCGACATTTCGGATCTGTACAGGTAATAATTTCGAAGAACATATTTATTATTTGCACTCATGGCTTTCAATTATTATTACGGAAAGTGAAACGTTTCTACACGTTATGATGCTTGATTTTCAAAGTATATTGGTTACATACTATACAGTTACATAATATTCTAAAACAAGTGAAATATAAATAGTAACGTACCTCTCCATGAGCAACAGATTCTCCGGGAATGAACAGTTCAGGGTAAATGTTCTTCAAATACCACTCGAACGATTTACATCCTAATTTTTCTCTCAGTTGTCTCCGTCCAGTTATGTCTCCATAATCACCCTTATCGTTACCAACACGCTGATAATAGTACTTCGCATAATCGTCTAACCATACCTAAAACCAGTAAATAACATTAGTTAAGTAGTTAGAAAGTAAAGTTCAGAGATATGAGCATAATTTACAAAATCCCTTACCTCAGCTAAACGAACAGAGTTTCTCTTCAGTACATTGACACCGGTCCGCCACTTGTATGGTGAACGTTTCCTGAATATGTGACCAACGTGCGAACACGGAACTATTTCTAGAGTTCCACCGCACATCCACGTTTTGAATGACAGCTCTAGATTTTCTCCGCCCCAAATGTCAAATCCGCTGTCATATGTTCCCAATTTTTCAAAGAATTCTTTATCTATAGCAAAGAGGCCACCAGCCATAGTGGGAGACCACACGGGCTCCGCTGTATGTTGGTGTCTCGCTCTTTCTTTGGCAGGAACAGGGTGCCAATTGAACTGGAGATTCCAGTCGAAACCACCAACATTGACAGAAGACGAGTCTCTGTAATGATACTCTAGGGTATTGTCGTCGATGACGTCGATTACGGGGCAGACTACTGTAGTCTTACTACGGGCAATTCTATCTAGTAATGGTTCGAGCCATCCTGGAATGAAATAGCTGAGGTTAACGACTGCTCGTTAAGGGGAATTTGTGTTACGCTAATTGTAAGATTTTACCTTCAGTGCACTCGCAATGGCTGTCGAGATAAGTTAGAACGGGAGCTGTAACGTATCGAGCACCAAGGAGTCGTGCTCTGATGAGACCTTCACGTCGAGTGGCTCGAACTATTCTTACTTTTGGTAACGATGACATATAATCATCAAGTTGCTGCATTAAGTGAGCTGCAGATACATAAAATAGGATTAACACAACCACTCAAATATTTTACATACACGATGTTCGGGTGAAACCAATAAAAATACTTACGCATGTCAGAAAAGTCGTCTACAAGAATAATTTCCTTGATCAAGTGTGCCGGCGACCGATCCAATACTGAATGAACGGTCCTAAGTAACACCGACCATGCCTCGTTGTGGAAGCATATTACTACGGATGTTTGTGGCAGATCCTCTAAGTATCTGCCTGGAACTTTGCACCTGTAAAAATTTTACACGGGTTATTTTTTATAAACAAAAGATATACGTAGTCAGCAACAATACGTATGGGTACAGTTTGTCTTTTCGCCTGTTTGAATAGGAATTTTACCTCATAAAATCTTGTTGTAATATTACAAAATTTTACATTTTGTCTTTTCCTGTCCTTGATTATACAACTAGAGGTATATTGATTTTATCCCCAAACGATAAGACCGTCTATTATACATAAAGAGCCCGTAAAATCTTTTAATTCAGATAAGTTAAGAAATCACAGCATTGTAAATAAATTAAGATATTATCTTCCAAACGATACGATAAAAGTATCAGAAACGTTAAAACGTTAAATAAAATCTCTTATCTTTATACCGAGTTATTATTTCCTGGCTCTCAGCGTTGGAAAATTTTATTACAAATAGACCTGTGCCCAGATAAGGCTAGGGCTATAAAATTTACTATTTTTCACAGGTTTAAGGACACGGTCCATTTACAAGACCAACATCGTCTCGCCTCATAATGGTGTATTGAAAATGCTATATGCACAGAGAAAATTGTATGAAGATTGAAGATATCGTAGTCTCTTAGAGCAGTTGACAGTCTTTTCGGTTATTGTAATGTGTTTCTCGATTTCCAAATAACTTTAGCAATAATATTCTAAGTCTGTATAACGTTGTTTTCTATACCCTATTTCGGAGAACGTTTTATCAATTTGGAATTGTGGTAAAAGGTTCTTGGAAACGGACTCTTATAATATTATTTTTACTTTATCCACAAAGCAAAAGCAATGCGTTGATTCAGAAAAATGCGATAAGAGAGAGAAAGGATTCGCGGAAATCCCTAAATCCCTTGGGATGTTCGCAGGTTGTACCTCATACATGTTGTACGGATTTGGTATCATTTTCTTACCACTCGTCTCTGGGGTCCGGCAGCTTTCTCCTAATAGATATCAGGTCACTGACGTATTGGTTGAACGCGTTCTTTTTCCATCCCTCCGAGACAGCTAACTTGGCATCTTCGCTAATATTCTTTGGTAGGACGACCGGTTTACCCAGTTCTCCGGGTGCGTTGTCCGAGCCCGGGGCAGCGATCACACCTAGCCCTATAGGATGTAATTATTTATAACCAACACACCTTAAAAATATATATTTTTTTTAAATATAGCATTTAAAAACATTCACTCATTTCTATTGAACTCATGATCGGTTTGGAAGTTGAGTGAGTGAGTGAGTGAAACTGATGATACCTACTAATCTGGCAAATCGTAATCGAGAATGAATTTAGTATTTGATAATGTTTTTGGTTAGGAAATGATTTATTTTCGTAGGTATTAATAGAATGGCAATTAATTGTGACCATCTGCGGTTAATATGACAGTGTAATTGCAGTGTGAATTAGCAGTGCAGCATAAGCTACTGTCCGCCACTAATACAATTGCGGCAACAATAGGTTTTATTTATAAGTATAGTTAGTTACACATTACACCCCCAGAATTGTTGACTAAAAATCCACTACACGTAGGAACGCTTTAGGATCTACATTACAATGTACACTAAGATTATCACGACATGTTAAGCAAAAGGAAAACATCTTCTCAATACTTTAATTTTTATCTCTATTAAAAGGTCGATGTGCTTTTGTCAATCAGTGGTATCGATGAATATGGGCCCATAAATTGTATTTCAATATTTCCATTTGCTTACTATTCCGTGATAAAGGCTAACTAACAAAGGTCATTAAAATTTACCTTCATTTCCCGAAAGCCGACCGATCCAATCGACCCGCGTTGGTGCTGTGACGGACAAACGCACATTATCATGCAAAATGTCGAAATACAGGAAGCTACTAACAAAATCTAACATGCAGAACATAAATCAAGTAAGAGGTGTACGCTACACATAGTGAAAAAGTATTTGACCTTGAAGAAACACATATATTTCTATTGCCCACATTCACTCTATTTAAAATAGGTTTGATTTTTATTACCTATAAGGTCTATTCAACTGTTTAATAGTATCAGTGCTACTCGTTCCATTTTGTGCATTACATTTAGAAATCTCTGTTTAGTAACATCAGAATAATGAAGAGCAAGTGCGGAGAGACACCATAATTCTTCCACCGAAGCATAAAAATGAAATAGGTATATTGCGTGAGTTTCACTTTTTTAAATTTAAGTAAGAAAAGACTAAACTCTTGTTTTATTTTTCCCTCTTAAAAATCTCTGTATAAGATTTCCCACAAATGGTTTTTTCATTCGCTTTAGTACAAACTAACTTTTTAGGGTGCCAACTTCACCTAATGGCCACCATTATTTGGGTCCACACAACAACCGAATAGCTTCAATAAAACTAACCAGAGTGTAATAATGACGATTCACTGTTATAACGCTCTGGGGGAAAATCTTATTAGAAATTCATTCTAGTATTCCGTTACGTCCCTCATTACCATTTGTATTGCATGTATTAGCCAAAAGACAATCGTATTGAGACGTCTCTTAGAGAACATAAAAGACAACACGGAAAGCAATATTTATAAATGCAAACAGCAGCACTGACGCTATTATAATTCACACGGGACGTTGTTTTCAAAATAAATAAGAACATAGAATTCTGAGGTTTATTCTTTCTATTTTGATCTCAAGGGATGCGACTCAAAATTCGATTTCTGTTGAAAGATTTCCTTATCCAAACGTACCTGTATGTAGTCTACATATCAATTTTACATTCATCAGTTCTGGATTTATTTACAGTGTTATCATAAGGGTTATAAGTTAGTTCCGTGGGTGACAGTGCAAAATTGTGTGAAGCTATCGATATATCTGGTATTTGATTTAACGCCTACACCAAGCAAGCTCATGCAGGTACAGTGCATAAATAACACTCACCATCAGATAAATTATTCCCGTAGGTTTCACTCTTCTTTTTTGTAGACGTGGGCTTTCCCATCTTCAAGGGCTTCGCCTCCGCCTCGACATATTCGATCGCTGGCGCAACGATCGAATTCCTTGAACCGCCATTAGTAGTCAACAGCGCGACCATAAACCATATCGCTGTTAATATGAGCACAGCCTTCAATATCAAAGTCCGCCTCCGTAAGAAAAACATGCTGTAGTATTTCATTCTTCTCAATACTTATTTCCAAGATATATACTGCTTGAACTTCTCTGTTTATTTGATTCACTCAATACATTTTTCGAAACTTGAATATTTTAGTCTTATCTTCATTTATATCTATGATGTTTTAAATCAATATCTTCTTTATAGAATTTGAGCAATAAAGTTTACACTATCTATAATCACAAAAGGGTGACTAGCATTAATAATGAGATATGTCTTCGTGTTTCACGATTGTCACAAGATATGCTTCTTCGATATGACAGTTTCAGTGATGAAAATATACTTCACATGACTTTGGTGAATGTGGCTATAACTTGGCCTGGGTTCGTTTATGTTTGAAAAGTTTCTTTCTCGTTTTTTGTTTCATTTCCAAGCGCTCATTGAGCATGATTTATCGTCCATATTCTTCAGCTCGAGTCCTGGGAACAAAATAGTTGCTTATCAATAACATAACACGCACACTCTATCAAGCTACATAAATAAAATCCACATAATTTTGATTGATGTCCTTCTTTAAGTACAGCCGTATTTATGGCAGGCGATTTTTTCTCGCCAAATCCCGCCGCTAGCTACTGAAAAGGTAATTGTGTTGGAAGGCCCCTTTTAGGGGTCCTCCACCTCGGATACTATGATTAGAAAAAAATCGAGATTTGATTGACGTCTTGTCATTGTCGATGAAGCTATTGCTATCAGAATTTTGTCAAGAGATAGAAATATTCAAAATGACGATGTATTTATTACCTCCTTTATTAAAAACACAAGTTATCTTGACATATTTGGCTTAAATAATATTTGATCCATGTTATTTCCTAACAAACATAAATGTAGTTCTATTAGTATTTGGAATAAGTAAAGAAATCCCAATAATTTACTGGAACAGCTACATTAATACGGCTCAAATAGCAAAAGTTTCGCAGCCCTACGAAGAAACTAAAGATGTACAATGGAGCCCTTTCTAGTGGTATGAGGAGGGTGGTAGTTTCCGCCACACGACTGATGGATTGTTCTGCTTCGTACATTATCGGGGCTAGCTGCCAGTGCCATTTTTCAAGTGGTCACACCGCAATTTTGTAGGCTAAAATGGCAACACTCGGCGTCGCTTTTAGTGTTAAAAATGCATTGAAATAATTCCTTGTTATGATCTTTCTCAGAAAAATGTTTAGTTTAAGTTATGTCCATAATAGTTTTACATATAACTTTTCATAAACAGAGACTTTAGATGACTTTTCGCTGTATAAAATTTACTCACTTCCAACGTTTGTTCTTGGGGAACCAAAGAATTATAAAGACAAATATGATAACGAATCGTAGATGAATTTAAAGGAAACTCGAACTGAAACACTTTAAAACGCGATCAGTTCTATCCAATTATCCTTATTTTAGGAGAAAGAATTCCAATAAAAATTTCAATCGGTTTAGTCAAGTCAAGAAATGGAAATGAGTGTAAAGTATTGTTCCTTAGGTAATCTGACCTCGATTTGCATATAGCCGCACACACTTAACCCAAATTTTAGGCAACTTTTATCTTTAACTTTTTAATTAAACCAACAAGCTTCGCAACAGGGTTTTAACACGTTACCTTACCTTGTTACAGTTTAGTTCTTGCAAATTCGATGCGATGTTTGTATCTGTAACAATTACAAAAAACATGTTAAGTTTGCTATAGAGATGCGCCGTTATCGATTTAAAGAGAATGTCGAAATCGAGTAATAAATTAGATAAAATCTTTACGGTCTCAAATTTAACGTAAATAGCACTAAATGGCGAAATATCCGAACATCTGAGACGTCTGCTGTAATAAATTCTAGGGAACTCCACCCGAGGGCTTATAGCAATTTAACCGAATTGGTACAAATTCAAAATGTTCACCGAGATTATTATTTCATCCGTATTGGAAAGGTATGTATGAAGGAATATGATGCATCGATAAAATTAAATTTCAAAATGCGATTTAGTTTAACATGTTCCAGAAGTAATTTTGAGTCATGCAATGAGGCTGTATGTTTTGAAATATGTATATTAATTTGTAATAGAATATTACACAATTTATTTCAAACGCCATATTATTATAGTTATGATTTTAAAGTTTATTAGACCAAAAAAGTAAAGACATTAATAGGATAAAAAACAGGTGACTTTAAAATCCGATTTTTACGGACAATAAGCAATTAACAATCACAAATACTTGGTAAAAGTTCACTGGTAGCAATAACAAATGTTTGGTAAACTGCGTATTACAGTATTACACACAGCGTATTCATACGCAATGCAGATCAGTAATACGAATCGAGTACAAAAATACGCATTACATTTCAATAAAAAACGCTACTTTAACTTCAATATGCGTAATAACTATATTCATTGCTCTTTATTATATTATTATCTTATACATTAATATTGTATTTCTGAATAAGAGCTTCAATATATTGTAAAAACATATCGAAATAATATTCAAATAAGATAAAATAAATTCACTTTTAATAGAAATGAAATAAAGTACACATTCAATTTACGCTGAGAAGCCAAATGAAATTGTAATAGGATTGGTTCATAGAATTAGAAGGAATGTAAAATAAAAGGACTATACTGGGATCACCTGAAAATATTGAATTCGAACAAAGTACGTATTATTAATTGAAGTTTTCATTCCATGTGCGAAATGGAACATGCCGACGTTGTTTCCCTTAGTTGTCCGATTGCATAGAAGAACTTTAATTAAATACTTTAAGCCGATGTCACAATGTTATAATAGTGCTAATGTTTCAACTCAGCGTTTAGAATATTTTGTAGTTTGTAAACCAGTTGGTTGCGTTTAGAGCCACAGTTGGAGCGGGAGAGAAACTTGCTCAGGAGTTTAATGAGTAAAAATGAAAAATATCATATAAGTGAGGGTTCATTCACTGGTCACTTATTAATTTTATAATGCTTAGTTTTTCTTTTTTCGGTATTTGGATTTTGGATTGTATTGGACTCATCTCACTATTTGCTACATATAATTTATTAGGTAGGTAGGTAATTTAAAACATGAAGTATAACAGTAAGCTATTATTGTAATTCGTTGAAAAATTTTACTCATTTTACAGCCATTAATTCGGTATTAAAATAAACTGCATTAAAATATAAATCCCATTAAAATTTTAACAAGACACATTTTACTGGCCTCAAAGGGCGGATGGCGTTGCGTGCGCGCAACCATGACCTAAGCGAACTCCGTCGCCTCCCGCCCGCTGGTCACGAGTTGATGTGCAACTACTAATTTACGTCATTACTCCATTCACCATATTATAGTGAATGCAATCATTAAAGCTGTGACCGGGTTTGAGAAAATTGAATTTGAAATACACGGTTTTCTTAATTATGGTATTTTGTTAAGTCATTTACATTTTTTTGTATTGTGTATGTTGGACAAGATAGATAGGATTGGGTAAAAGTTGTGTTAAAACTTCTATTTGCTGTTGCCAAGTGATGTAATAGATGTCTATTAAAAGTATTATAAGTTATTTTTTTATGGAATAGTAGGCAAACGAGCAAACGGATCACCTGATGGTAAGCGCTATCAAAAAATAAAACCAGAGGAGTCACAGGTGCGTGGCCGGCCTTTTAAAAAGGAATACGCTCTTTTCTTGTAGGTTTGAAGGTCGTATCGGTTCGGAAATACCGCCGACAACAGATCATTTCACAGTAATTGAAACAGCATTCAAAGTTTCGAGTTTTCTGTTTTCATTCACATTTGTGGGGAACAAATATTACAACAAATAATAAGTCATCGACAAAACGATTAATAGATTCCCGCAATAAAGATCAGTCTTGATAATAATCCAATTACTTCATCCCGAAAGAGAGGGATATTAAAAAAGGAGCCAACGTCACGAGCGGAATCGTTGGAGATCTCGACTAAAACGAAGATAAAATGACCTAATTTGGCAATCCCTCTTGAGGATTCATTTTCCTTTTTATCGAAGTCGATGGAACCCACTGAGTGACTGCCGCCATTTTAGTTGAAAGCAATTTTGAAAATTCTGAAATTTGGTTTTCCGAGTGGTTCGAAAATTTGAGGAGGATCGGTGAATGGGGAAAATAATTATGAGCTGTTATCTTAAGTACAGGAGCAGACAATAGAGAGAAAAGATTTTATGATGGTGCTCAAAAGCGATGGGATAGACTTGGGTGTTGTTTACGTAACGCACACATTTGTTCTGTCTTTACGAGGTATTAAAACTTTGTTTGGAGCCCTCGTGGCAGAGAAAGAAAATAAAATTATGACAGATAAAACTTAACGAAAAAAGTTTTCGTAATAAACGTGGCAGATATAAATAAGATGTCTTTACAACTCTCATAACAATGCTGATGGAAGTGTCTCTGACACATATTTCTGTACTAACTTCTGTGGAAATATTCTCACGTACTTTTTTATTAATTTGGAAGTCGAAATGTAAACACTGGAAGGATTTAATTTGGGATATTTTTTGCATGCATTTTAAAAACAATAAGATAATGTTTTGCCTTAAAGTGTAGGCAGAAGTAAATACTATTCGACTAAATAATCGCACCGGGAACCATCTTACTCAGTTTCCACACTGACGTCCACTCTACCAATTAATTAAGCATTTGATATGCAAGGAACGATCAGAATAATACTCTAAGAAACACAACGCAACAACACATATACTTCCAAACAACTTCACATAAGAAAGTCGTCAACATATAAGCACGTACTAGAATTGCATACGCCACAACGTGGTCGGACCAGCATAGCATCGGGCAGAGGTCACCGACCTACCCCCGCACTAATCCTACCCCCTCCACGTCCTTAAGAGTCCTGCTAATGACATTTGCTAGGTTTTTAAGCTACTTATACATTTATAGCCTTATATTCGTATAATATGTATTATTTTTAGGACTTGTATCACAAGTTGACGTTCGTTTAACTTATACATATTTTGAAACATTTTCTATGCAAAAATATGTAAAAATGATTTTTAAATAGACTAACTGGAACTTTATCAGGCATTGCAAAATAGCCTATTAATGTTTGTAGTTATTACGAGTAAGCTCTAAACACTTTTTACTAATAATCACACACAACACCGAATTTTCATATTTATTTGATGGGATTGGCCCCCATATAGGTGTGACTACCATCTTGCCTGGTAGTAAGCGATGATGCGGTCTACGATGGAGCACGTCGACCCATAAGCAACCTATTCACTTGAGCCTTGAAGACACCCAGTTTATACCCTTCAGGAGCTACAGACTCTGGCAAAGACATGAATCAGAATTTAATTTTATCCTTTAGACATCACATGAAAATTTTCATAGGAAAAACCTCCTTAAAGGTATTCGTGATTCACAAATCGAAACAAAAACATCACACAGGAACTATTTACAATTACATCATAAGAACTTTACAACAAAAACTAGGCGTGAGAGAATTCGTTCCAATCCGACGTATGAAGAATAACCACAAGCAATCGTGAACACAATGTGATATAATAATTAAGTACTTGATTTATGCTTCACCAATTACAAGTATAAAAAAAAACCTATTTTGCAAACATAGGTACGACGCGCTAGATAGGAAGCAGGGTATCCGCCAATGGATATCTGTAGCAAAACAGATTCAAAATATTAATCAGGACTCAAACCTTTATTATTTGATAGGCACTTTAATGACAAATATCAAAATACATTTTCACTTCATGGACCAATTACTAATCAATCTCGCTAGAAGGTATTGATAGAATCATTCTTCCATGCAAAAAACAGTTCGATAGTTTGTAAAATTAAAAAAATTAAATTCCTCGTACAGGTAGCTCAACGTTTTCATTAATGTCTATTTTATAGGTAGTATAATTGTGTACGTAGAAAATGTAGTGAGAAAAACCTACAAACAAAACATTTCAGCTAAACAGGATTAAAGGCAACAGAGTATTTTATCAGCTTAACCAACGGTTGGCTACACAATACATTAACCTACAAGTTTTACACTTCATGCGTCCTTAACAAAGTGGCACTTCAAGGAATAGACAGAAGTATAGAAGAAACAAAGTTTTAGCTTTTATCAGAACAAATAGTTCCAGAATGTTCCACTATGTTCTACAATGTTTTCGTTATCTAAACGTCCGTATTAAGTCCCAATTTTACACTTAAATGTACACTTTTTACGATGCTTGTGTTAGTTGCACACTCGATAGTGTCCCGTTCGCTTATTGTGTTTGTCCATGGAGAATAAAAACTGTAGGAATTGAATACGCTTTTTGTTTACTTGTATAAGATAGGACACAGTACATGTGGTAGTTCAGTGTTTAGAGGAAATAACATTTCATGTTTTTTTTTTCAAAAACATGCAGCAACAATTTTTTTACAATCATCTGGTGATAATTGAAATCAATCTGCTTTGCCAATGGACACCCAGAATACCAGAGGCGTTACAAGAGATAAGGAATTTGAGGATTGTTGGGGATTCGGGGATTGAGGAGTGAGATGAGGGGTAATTGTAATCTCCTGTAGCCTCACTCACTTGACGAAACACAACGCAAGCGTTGTTTCACGTCGGTTTCCTTTATGGCCGTGGTTTGGCTTCATCCTTGTCAATTTCTTAGAGCTGAAAACAGTTGAGTAAACAAAC